TTTGAAATGTTCTCCCGCTAATTTCCACCTATTGCCACAAGTTCTTGTATTTGAACTAATGCTGAAGTAACTATTCGGTTAGAAAGCATCCAAACCTGTTAGAATCTTATAGACCTGGATCATGTTCCCCCTCAGTCTCCTTTGCTTGAGGCTGAACAGATTTAGCTCAACTAACCTAACCTAACTTAACCTAACCTCAACTACTAGGATTAGTTTAGGATGCAAAAGTCCTGATCCAGAGGAAGAAAATTATACCACTGAATACCAAAACTGCTACCATAATTAAACTATAAAAACTTATGTTCACTTTGAACAAGTAATTAATCAAATAAGGTATGAGATAATGTCATTAAATAATGCCTCTCCCCCCAAAAAAATACACTGAGAATTGAGAAGGGAATTCCACCAAAAAATATACAGACGTGTGCTTGGTAACAAGGCATCTTTTCAGTCCAGATACACGTGTAGATTTACTGAACAGTGCACTCTGGGAACAAAACAGGAGTGTACAGACACTTGCCAGCCATTTGCCAGCATTTCTGCTGGGGTCGATGTCGAGATATCAGCAGAGAGAAAGGATGCATGGATACAAAGATGTGGCTGCTTTCCACCTTTGGTTGAGAAGCCTTTTGTTGCTTCAACAGTACCGGCATCTCCTGTTACGGAGCAGGGTTTCTGGTCCAGCCACAGTGGGTTAATCGTCTCCAGCTTCACCCTGCTGGCTGCCTATGCTGTCTGTTGTCTCAGTCCATTCATTGTTTAGGCCAAAGTAACATCCAAGAGAATCACGAGCAATAAGGCAGTTATTAAGGGGGCAGGGGGCAAGGAGGTCATAGCCGGCAGGAGTGTCGGTAGATTCAAGAAATGCTTAAGATGGTGAGAGAAACCGTAATTAATAAATAAATCAGTATTCAAGCTTCATGAGCGTTTATAGAAAAAAATTAAGCCTGGATTCAGGGAGAACCGCTGACATCTTCTCAAGAGCTACTGGTTGGTCTGTAAAGTCTACCAAGTCTCTGTTCCCGTGAGGGGGGGGTAAGGAGGTGAGACCCTCTGGGGGTAACCTGCAAACACTTTGAGTTCTTTGGCTCCACTATAAGAGGAACAGCTGTGTGCTGCACTATGTTGCAACCCATCATCTTCACAGTGCCCAGCGTCCTTCTGCTGCTCTAAAATCCCCACCTAATTAGTCAAGCATGAATCCACTTCCATATATTTGGTGACTGAACAAGACCTAAGTCATCATTCTTAGGTAAAAGCAAGGAGTCACCAGATAAAGGGAGAACAGGTGCTCAAGGTCAAGCTTTAAAAGGGAAGAGGAGGAGGACACTTTATCCAGTACAGATATTTTATGGGTTCCACTGAAATAAAGGTAGCTGATTATGAGAAAGATCTCGGTATGTATGTTGATGCTTCCATGTCCCACTCTCGCCAATGTGGGGAAGCAATAAAAAAGGCGAACAGAATGTTGGGTTATATCTCT